GGGCTAGACTTGGGAATGAGGGAGGTCAGTGTCTAGGACAGAACATGGAGAGGACTGTTCATTGCACACACAAGTAGGGCAGCTAGCCCAGAGGGAAGAGGATAATGGCAGGATTTGGTTTCACACATGGTGATGGGATAGCGTGGAACAAAGAAATCATGGAGGGAGTTGGAATGTGGCCCTGGAGGTGGCATCAGGGTAACAGTGGGAACAGTTCCCTCAGCCAAGGAGAAGCCTGAGTTGGGAGTCAGGGAAGGAGAGAAGGGACTTGGAAGAGTTGAGAAGGCATTGTGGAACCAAGGGCCAGTGGGAAGTTGTGCTCAAGACCACAAAAATCAGGAGAGGCTGGGCCTGACAAAGCCCTGTTAGATTTGGGATTGAAGAGAGCTTCGGGAAGGATAGCCTCCTGGAGCAAAGTGGAGGTCAGAGCCTGACTAGCCTCTGGGCATTCAGAGGCCGGTCTGCTGTAGATCCAGGACATTACAGATGACCTGCTGACACTGCAGGGTGGGTGCCAAAGTGATTCCAGGTTGAACAGGAGCCATCTGACCATGTCAAGGTGGGGTAAAACTGGCAGGTCATCTAACCCAGAGACTCAGAAATGAGGCTACCCTGAGTAGGAGGTGACCCTCAAGCTAAATGTCCCTCCTAAATCAAACCACCTGACCCTTTTACAAATTGGAAAACAGACCAGTGGGTCAGCTTCTGCCAATCCTAGTGGCAGCTTCACCACCCACAAAGACCAGGATCAGTCTCCCAGCTGGCCTCTGGTAAAAGGGACCGGAACTAAGCCGACTATGGCCTGCACCCTGGTTCCAGAGTGAGTGAAGGAGCTGACCTTGATTTCGAAACCCTCCTTCCTCTCTTGACACTGGCAGCAAAGTGCAACCTCTGCAAAAGAGACCCACACAGTGGGTGAAGGCAGCCGCCCATAGTGGATGGTCCACCAAGAGAGCTCAGGGGCTGGCCAGGCTATGCCCTACACCCCCCAGTACTCCCATCCCTGACTCCAGTGCCTTGGGAGACCGCCTCCCCGCATCGCTGACCGAGTCCGTGGTGTGGTGTCCTCCAGGCACCTGCCTAGGTCCCTTGGAAGGTGCTTCAGGCTCAGCCGGCCAGCGCTTAGGGATACCTGCTGGGTGCTCATCTCCAAGCTGAGTGCTTGGCATTCTGCTTCGCGATAGCGGGAAGGGGAGCCAGAACCTCCTACCTCACCAGCACACAGGCACAGTAGGTGCCCGCGGGACCTGGGGTAGGGCGACAGCGGCGTGGGCGCGGGGAGCTCTGCTGGGGAAACTCGTGCAACCCATCGGCATCAGGACTGCGGCGCTCTGCGCGCGCACGCGTACGTCCCAGGGGCCCAGTCACCGCCCCCGGGCCCCCTCTTTCCCCTTCCGGACTTGCGAGGAGGTGTCTGCTCAGGGCTTGGGGCGCCCCCTGTGGGCCGCTAGCGAAGCTGTAAACAGACCCCGCCCTCCGGACCGCGTCTCGTAGACCCTTGCGGAGCTGAGGTCTGGGCTGAGACCCCGCGGGCTTGGACTCTCCCGGGGCGCGCGTGGTTGCCCTGGCTGCTGGGCAGCATCCTCCGCCCACCCACGGTGCTAGCAGGCCTGGCTGTAGTTGCCATGACTTCAGGAGGCGAGGGGGCGCGCAGCCTGACGCCCCGCCCCGTCCCAGCCCCGCCCTCCCTGTCCCCCAACCCCGCCCTCTCTGCTGCCTGCGCCGCCGCTGCCACCGCCGCCGCCGCCGCCGCCG